GGACAGAAAGATATTCCATGCAATGGAAATAAACATTTCCATTTGTCTGGGGTAGCAACCAGAAAACAGACTTTGTTTTTTGTTTTTGTGTGTGTGCGTGTGTGGATAATAAACTTTGAAACAAAGAGTGTAATAAGAGACAAAGAAGGGCATTTCCTAATGATAAAAAGGTCAACGCAATAAAAGGATATAGCATTCGTAAATATTTAGGCACCCAACATAGGACCAGGAAAATATACAAAAAGCAAATATTAACAGACATAAAAGAGAAAGAGATAACAGTACAACTATAGTAGGGAACTTTAATACCCCATTTACGTCAATGGACAGTCATCCAGACAGAAATCAGTAAGGAAACACTGGATTTAAATGACTTGTTAGAGCAGACGGACAACAGATATTTATAGAACACCACTAAGTAAAGTGAAATTATCATTTATCTCGCCTTCTCTGTCTAAACTCTAACTCAGGGTGACTAAATTATTGATAATAGGTTTCTTGTTATAAAAGTATTCCAGCTCAAAATCAAAGGAAACTGCTAATGAATAAATCTAAGCAGTGATCATAAATCACTGCTAACATCACAACATTACATGCCTCCTCCTGATAGAACAGAACATCACCTTTGGTATTTTCTTATTCTTGCCCCTCCACTCCCATCAAATCTGAATCTCATCAAGTCTCTAGATCTAATTACCAATTGTGGGAAACAAAGAGGCAGAGAAATGTTTTGTGATACCACATGGATGTAATCTGCAAATTCCAAACTGTGGGAAACTAAAGAATAAATGATGTACTTTCTTCAACAAATTACAGAGAAAAATGAGAAAGAGAGTAAGAGAATCTAGTGATTAAAAGAGATATTAATCATAAACACAGACATCATTTGGAGCATGATTTAAACAAAATGTAAAAAATTGATTTGTGAAACAGGAAAATTTGAGTATTAACTGGATATCTGAGGACATTAAGAAACAATTCTAAAATTTTTTAGATTTGATAATGGAATTGTTATTGCTTTTTAGAAGGATTATCTTTAAGAGATACAAACTGAAATAGTAACAGATGAATGATAGGATGCCTAGAATATGCTTCAAAATCATCTGAAGAGGGGTGTCTGTGTGGCTCAGTCGTTAAGCGTCTGCCTCCAGCTCAGGTCATGATCCCAAGGTCCTGGGATTGAGTCCCGCATCGGGCTCCCTGCTCAGAGGGGAGTCTGCTTCTCCCTCTCCCACTTCCCCCTGCTTGTGTTCCCTCTCTTGCGGTCTCCCTCTCTGGCAAATAAATAAATAAAAAATCTTTAAAAAAAATCTGAAGAAAGTAAAGACTAGAGATGAATCATGACTGGCCCTACTGTAAAGTACTGCAAATGAATTATGAAAACATGAGCTCAAAGAAGTAGTTCTGTACACATTTGAAATTTCCACAATAAAAAAATTTTAAGGTATCCTTTACATTCAGAAACAGGTCACTTTCGGGAAGAGCAATTTGTGGAATGAAAGGGCAAATGCTAAATGAAGTAAGTGACATGATCAAGGATTTGGCAGGAATGAGGTGAGATAAAGATGGTAGCTAAAAGTAGGGATTGGTTTGTTATATGATGTTTTTCCAAATTCACCCATTCATCATTCATTCATTCAACCGGAAAAAAAAAGAACTTCAAGTGCCTGCTGTAATTTTAACTGTGGAAACAGCAAATGAACTCAAAACAAAAACCAGGGCACATGGATGGTTCAGTCGGTGAAGTGTCTGCCTTCGGCTCAGCTCTTGGTCTCAGGGTCCTGGGATTGTGCCCAGGGAGCACTGGGCTCCCTGCTCAGCGGGGAGTATGCTTCTCCCTCTCTCTCTGCCCCCCGGCAAACATGCTCTTTCTCTAATAAATAAACTCTTAAAAAAAAGGGCAAAAACCTGCTCTTTTGAACTTTTATTCTTATATGAAAGTTTGGGGAAAAATGAGGTTGGAAGAGTGTTTTTTATACTCAGTACAACTGACATTTTGGGCTGGACAATTCTTTGTTGTAGGAGACTATCTTATGCATTGTAGATGTTCAGCAGCATCCCTGGCCTCATATTACAGGTTAGTATTGCTGACACTCCCTTCCAGTTGTAACAAAAATGACTCCATACATTGCCAAACATCCCTGAGAGACAAAAATCACTTCCAGCTGACAAGCACTGGGTTAGAAGTTAGTAAGTGCTACTAAGAAAAATGAAACAATGAAAGGGGATAAGAAATACCAGGGTAATGGCAGCATTGGATTTGCACCTTTGACAAGGATGGCTGGGGAAGAGCACTCAAGGCAGAAAGAATAGTTACATACAAAAGTCTTGAGGTAGAAAGGTGTTGGCACACTGAGAAATGATAAGCCAGTGTAGCTGGAACAGAGGAAGTTAGAGGGAAAGTGGCAAATGCATAGACTACATTGACCTTCCTGCAAATAACATGAAATCTAGGGGGAAAAGATACAAAAAAACCTGCCCCCAAAACCCCCCCCAACTATTTATGCAAGCACTAAAAAGTGAACAAAGCTGGAAGATTATGGAGGTGACTTGAAATGAGAAAGCAAGGAATAGCAAAGGTTGTAATTCCAGTCTATTATGGCTTTTAGCCTAAGGGAAGACCATGTGAGGCAGTTAAAACTCCCAAAGAAAACCCAGTCTTTTAGGCCTGAGCAATCAGAGAATATAAGCTTGGGTAAATGAATGCTGCTAGAGAAATGAGGCAGCAATCCTGGGAAGGAAAGAATGAACACTGCTACGAAATGAGGCAGCAATCCTGGGAAGGAAAGAAGGAAGAATCTCAAATTCCATAAACTCTGCCCAAATCACTGCCTAACCCCTGAACAACAGTATTAAGACAAACTCCAAGCTGCCTAGCAAGGATCAGAAAACTAAAATGAGATTTAAACTGTCACCCAAAAGATAAGTGTCTGGAGTCCAACCAAATTTCTTGACAGTACAACAAAATCAATAATCTTTTGAGAAATATAACATTATTTAGGGTCTCTACAACATGATTATCACAACGCCCAAGACATAATCCAAAATTACCTGACATAGAAAGAAAAAGGTGAACAAATCTCAAGAGAAAATACAATCAAGAGAACCCAACCTGAGATGATCCAGATGTTAGATTTACTAGTCAAGAATTTTAAAACAGCTATTATAACTATGCTCAATGACATAAACAAAATTCACATTCGTATTATGAACATATGCTTATAATGAATGCAACAGTAAGAAATGCCACCAGAGAAATAAAATCTCTTAAAAAAACAACAACAGGGTGCCTGGGTGGCTCAGATGGTTAAGTGTCTGCCTTGGGCTCAGGTCATGATCCCAGGTCCTGGGACTGAGTCCAGCATCGGGCCCCCTGTTCCTTGCTTCTCCCTCTGCCTCTCTGTCTCTCATGAATAAATAAATAAAATCTTAAAAAACAAAAACGAAAACAACAACAACCTGTTAATTCTGGAAACGAGAAAGACAATACATGAAATAAAAAATTCACTGGATGGGCTGACAACAAAAGGGAACTGACAGAGAACAATCCGTGAACTTGAAGATAATCAGTAGAAGTCATTCAACCTGAAGAACAGAAAGAAAAAAAGAAAGAGCCTCAGGGACCTTTGGGATAATATACAAAAGTTTAACATATTGAGTCCCAAAAGAAGAGAACAAATGAGGCAAAAAAAAAAAAAAAAATTGAAAAAATAATAGCCAAAGATTCCCCAAGTTTGGTAAAAGACAGAAATTTACAGATTCAAAAATCTCAGCAAATTCCAAGCGGGGTAAGTACAAAGAAAACCACACCTAGTCACATCATAGTCAAACTGCTTGAAAACAAAGAGAAAAAAAAAATGCAACCAAAGAAAATAATACATTACATATAGAAGGAAATGATTTGATTATAACTGACTTCTCATCAGATAACAATGGAAGAAAACAAGTGCTGAAAGAAAAGGACACTGGCACACCAGAATTCTACATCTAGTGAAACTATGCGAGACGGAAGGTAAAATAACATTTTCACATATAACAAAATTAAGAAGAATTTGTCACCAGCAGACCTACACTTTAAGAGGAAGAGGTTAAAAGATACAGATTAGGTCATAAAAGATGGAGCAAATGCCAATGTTCCAAACATATGAAAGATATTTGCAACATTCTTTTCATAGCTAAGAAATCTCCAAGATCATCTTGTCCAATCCCTTTATTTTGCTCATGGGCCAACCAATATCAATTATCTAGTGGTATAATATACAAGTCTAATTTCTGTGTCAAAGCAATGGAAATAAAACATTTATATCAACCTTTATAAATAAGTCAGAATACACAGTGAAAATAAATTGTTAAAATTGATATAGATATTATTCCTAAAGGTTTTATAAAAACTGAATGTTTCATTTAAGTTACCTTAGGTATTTACTTAAATCATAATGTGAATCTTTTTATATTAAGAATTCCTCTATCTTTGTGAAAACTCAAATTTTCATTTTTTAATTAAATGAGAAATAAAGTTTATTTCTTAAAAACAGTACTAGAAAGGAGTCTGTTGCATACTTACACAATATAAGTAAAATGATATGCCATTGCACAAAACAGAATTTTCTCTCTACTGTAATAAGGAACTGTCAATGGGAGTAAACACTGTCTTAAGGTATTTCTGATTTTTATATTCTGTTTAAAATGTTATCTTTGGAAGTACACAGAACACAACAGGCTCTGAAAATCAGTTTATGAATGAATGAAATATATAAAACTATGAGACACACAGATTAATGGAATTTCCCAAGCCCACAAGTCAGGTATGTAATCACAATAAAATCAAAATCTTCAGGAACTCATCCCTGGGCTCCAAGAAAACAAGATTCCCAGGTTCACTAAGGAACACAATATATTTGAAAACATCATTGAAAAATCACCCCCGTCTCTCTATACATATTGGGTTGGCATTACCTTACCACATATATGTTAAGTGCTGGGCCTGCCTAAGTACTTACCCCAACAGCTGGGACTTCTTCACTCTTTACTTCATTTATCCGAACCAAATAGTTAACAAAATCTCTGGCAGCATTGCTCTGTGCATCTTTTTTATTGGTGGAATTGCCCATGCCAATGTAATTATAACCTTCCACTCGAACCTTTTACAGTCAAGAAAAAAAATGTATTAGAAGAGATTGACCCGGGTAATTCTGGGTCTTAAAAAATAGGTAATTCAATAGTCCATTAAGAGATAACAGTTAAATGCTGAAGATATACTCCATAAAAACACAGAAAATAACACATCTAAGAAAATCGTTGACTTATGAAAAAGCTTGAATTATGCTGCCCAGTGATAAACTAATCTAAAAACAACAATATTAATTTATGTGGCTCAGATATTCTCTTCTGTAACAGAATGTTCCACACTAAAATCTGATTTTATAAGACCCAAGAACAAGCTCCCCATTTGTATTTATCTTAAGCAATTTGACTCGAAGCAATCAAGAATCGCTCCACTTTCCACAGGAATAAGTGAAACTGCAAATAGCTGATCCAACTTTTCTAATCTGCACTACTGGTACTGTGGCAGCTGAGGGAGATACATGTTCTAACCAGAATAATTTACCTATCAGATTGTTTTAAAAGTAATGCTCGCTTGAAAATGATTTATAATGAAACAGAATAGCAGACAAGCGACCATAAATAACATACAACACTACTGTTTCTGAACAGAAAACATTGTTCTCTTAACACCAAAATAAGTGTCAAAAAATCACAAAAATATAAACTGTATTCTGTAATACCTCACACATGAACTTTTGCCTGTTTTTGTTCCCCACTGCTCTAATTTCATAGGATGGGGTCATCTTCCTTTTGCCACACCAGGCATACAGAAAATTTTTAACATCACCCATGATTCAAGTGTCTTCTTCCGACCTAAGAAAACAAAAGTTAAACCACATTATTTATGAGCAAACACCACAAGTGACCAATAACTGGAATTAACTGAAAACGTAGGTTAAACACAGGATATTCTATCATACTGCTATTAAAATTGCTTATGATAAAATTTTAATGACATAATTGGAAGGCCTATAACATGTCGTACAAAAAAGCAGTATACAAAATACACGACTTGAATTATACGCATAAATCAAGACTAAAAAAGAAATATCCCTCAAAATGGTTATCTTTGGGTGACTCCAAGTGATTTTGACTTTTTTTTTTTTTGAGAGCAAGAGAGAGAATCTTAAGCAGACTCTATGCTCAGCATGGAGCCTGACGCAGGGATGAATCTCACCTCCCTGAGATCATTACCTGAGCCTACATCAAGAGTTGGATGCTTAACTAAGCCACCCAGGTACCCCTGACCTTTTCTTAAAAACATTTTATGTGAGGTGCCTGGATGGCTCAGTTGAGTGGCTGATTCTGGATTTCAGCTGGGGTCGTGATCTCAGGGTCCTGGGACTGAGCAGTGTCAGGCTCCGCCTCCAGGCTAGGAGGGGAGTCTGCTTGAGGACTCTCTTTCCCTCTGCCCCTCCTCCCAGTCACATGCAGGTGCTCTCACAAATGAACAAATCTTAAAAAAAAAAAAACCTTTTTATGTAATGTCCCACTTTTTACAATAGGCACCTTATGTGTTAACTCAATCCTCAAACAATGGGAGATAAAATTATATAATGAATACTATTATTGTGTCTCTACAAAGGAAGAAACAAGGGCATAGAAAGTTTTTTTCCAAGTCACCTACTGTGAGGCATAAACTCAAAGTCAAACTACTATATTAAGAAATGGTCATCAATCAGGGGCGCCTGGGTGGCTCAGCTGGTTAAGCGACTGCCTTCAGCTCAGGTCATCATCTCAGGGTCCTGGGATCGAGCCCCGCATCGGGCTCCCTGCTCGGCGGGAAGCCTGCTTCTCCCTTTCCCACTCCCCCTGCTTGTGTTCCCTCTCTCGCTGTCTATCTCTGTCAAATAAATAAATAAAATCTTTAAAAAAAAAAAGAAAGAAATGGTCATCAATCATTTTGTGTGTAAATCAGAGTTTATTCTCATTCTGAGGTGTCTCCTAGCAGACTGTCCTCAAAGTTGTAGGCTACATATTACTCTACTTAGCCTAAAAACACTAATCTGTTAAGTACTAAATCTCTCCTTTAGGCCTTGTTATTCATTAAAATTTGAGGATATTAAGTTTTCTTGATGTACACCATACCATACTTATTGGCACTCTCCCTCTAATATAGTTTATAAATATACCAAAAGATATGGAGCCTGTGAGTCTAAAATCTGAATCTAAATTAAAATCAAGGTATCTGAAGGGTGCCTGGGTGGCTCAGTCAGTTAAGCCTGATTCTTCATTTCGGCTGGGGTCATGATCTCAAGGTCGTGGGACTGAGCCCTCTGTGAGGCTCCATGCTCAATGGGGAGTCTACTGGAGATTCTCTTTTGCTCTCTACTCCTCCCCACCGCAAACACATGCCCTCTCTCTCTCTAAAAATAAACAATAAATCTTACACACACACACACAAAAAAGATATCTAAGACCAAATTTAGATCCAGAAAAAATATGCAAAAATATTAGTTTGCTGTGAGAAACCTCATTACTAGAATTAAACCTTTGTCTTCTGTTCAGTGCATTTTTTTTTTAAAGATTTTATTTATTTACTTGAGAGAGAGAGACAGCACGAGAGGGGGGAGGGTCAGAGGGAGAAGCAGGGAGCCCAACGTCGGACTCGATCACAGGACTCCAGGATCATGACCTGAGCCGAAGACAGTCGCTTAACCGACTGAGCCACCCAAGCGCCTCATGTTCAGTGCATTCTGTTAGCACCTAAATTTAACATCATAAAACTGGACCCCAGTATAAACTCATTCTGTAGCCACAGGCTAACCCTGGAGAAATCCTGTTAACTGAAAAGCCGTGGAAAGCTTTTCTATCTGTAAATTCCACCCCTGAATAATTAACTAAAAAAACAAGACCTCAGGGTGAGTGAGTACCATGAAATATGAAGGACTACACTATCAAATTCCTTCCTTCCTAGGCAGTCTCATCTAACTCCATTATACTCAATAACAACTATAGGCTAATGATGCCCAAATATATACTTAAACCTTAATCTTTTCTCTTTTAAGCTCCAAAATCAAATTCATCCAACTGCAGCAATAATGTGCAAATACTAACCTGACACCTCAGTAAAAACAGAATTTAAGTCTCCTCCCCAAACCTGTTCCTTCTTCCCTCAGTCCAAGTGTTTCCATCTCCCGAAATGGCACCGCCATCTACCAAGTTACTCCTGTCACAACTTGGGAGTCATACACTCCCTCGAGATCCTCCATAGCTATCCCTTGGAGAACTCTCAGTATGCGCCAGGCAGTAGTAACCTTAGAGAATCATCTACATGGACTATTTTCCTTAACCCTTACAATAATTACACAGATAAGACTATGATTATTCTCCCCCTTTAGGGATGAATAAACGGAAACAAAGAATACCTTGCCCCAGAGAGGACAGAGCTCTTAACTGGGAAACCCAGAATTCCAAGCCAGGTAGTCTGACTCCTGACCTACATGCAATTCTGCCTCCAAAACGGGTTTCCAATCCATTCGCTTCTCTCCAACCCCTGCCAGCACTACCGCACACCTGGCGTTACTGAAATAACGTCCTAGACCTATAGATCTAGATCCCCGTTTCCCCTCTGGCCACCCTAAAATCCATTCTCTTCACTCCTTCTCACCATACTCCAAGAACATGGCCTTCTTTGTTTCTTCCCAATCTCTGCTCTCAAGCGCTAATCCCTTCTTACCTCGGCAATTCTGCGCCCCCCCCCCCCGCATCTTCAGAGCTGACGCATTCTCGACCTCAGGGCCGACATATCAGCTCCAAAGTCTACCTCCTCCGAAACGCTTTCTCTTGCCACCGTAGTTAAACTAGCTTTCTCCCTCGGCAATTTTCATTTCCTCAATCTTTTCACTGAAACCTGCAGACATTTGTTCTTCTGTTGCCTCCCACCACCACCGAAACCTCCATGAGGAAGGGGAAGGGGCTGTGCCCCACGTGTTTACGGCTCCACCGCCATGCCCGCAGGACAGCGCCCGGTCTTTGTGGCCGGAATGAATGGATGAAGGGCCCTAGGTGTGTGTGGCGTCACTGCGGGCTCACCACCCGGCGATGCACCCCCTTTCACTCGGCGGCAACAGCGCCTTCGCCGCGCGCAGGCCGGAGGAGGAAGTGGGGTTTGGCTGCTTCGGACAAGGCACTGGCCATTGCTGGGGGAAAAACGGGTCTATACCGCGGGCCCGGGCAGCGCAGGCGTGGCGCGGCGAGCAGCACGCAGCCCGCAATCCGGGAACGCGGCGGGCGCCTCGCCCCTTCCCCCACCCGCCACCGCCGCCCGCGCTTCGCAACAAAGCCCGGCTGCAGGAGCGCGGGCCCCCACACCCCCAACGGGTGGCAAAGACATCTCTCCCCTACCGGCGTCCGCTTCCTGGTGTCCGAGAACACAGCCCTCTTAGAACCGCCCGGGGCCACGGCCTTCCTCAGAGACACTCGGTAAACACACCTCAACTCGCGTGGAGGCGGCAGAGAAATGGCTCCGACGGCGGCGCCGGGAGGGCGGGGTCAGTGGGCGTACGCATGCGCACGAAGCGAGTTTAGGGCTGAGGGCGCTCCCCACCCCCAGGGAGGGGCGGGGCCGCAGCTACCACTTCCCGGCGTCCCGTCGGGTCGCCAGGGAGATCCGCGGCGCTGGGCCTGCTGCGCTCCAGCGGGGATTCTTCCCTTGCTCCCTACTTTTGAACGTTTTTGAGAGTTGGGAACGTTTTGAGTGCATTTTGACGCAGCAAAATGTTTCATAGCTTCTATCATGGGGCCCTCCGGTAGATGACAAATAAAAGGTAGAAGACAGAACTGGAAATCTTAGGTGCTATGAAGAGTGCTTAGCGAAGTACTTGGCACATAATAGGTGTTCAGTAGGTCTTGTTATTGTAGTGCTTCAGATACTCTAATGCCAGTGTCTTCTGAAAGAAATAAGCTCAGTGAAGGCAGGAAACCTGCCTGGCTAGCTGAGGCCACTCACTGCAGTGTGTGGCACATCTTAAGTGCTCAGTAAAAACCAGCCGAATGAGTGGATAAACTCTGCAAGGTTGTTTTTGCTTAAATTGGATAACCTTTTGTCTTCAGAGTCTTTGGAATAATTTGTATATTTAGTTATTGTAGTAGTCATTGTTACATTTTTGAACTGTAGTGCTTCCCATGAAGGCAACAATACAAAATATTTCAAGTTGGGGTTGTTTCAGAGATTCCGGACTAATCAATTGTCTGGGCCCATCATACCATATCCATCCTTATTTTTCACTTTTTATTCTTTTGTTCTTGATTCTTCTAGCTCATAGTGATTAATCCCTTTAAAACTCTGTTGCTCCTATAGTCAGAATAACAGTTTAGCATTTACTCTTATTTTCTTCACGTGTTTGCTGTCTTCAATTAAGAGTAAAATCATTCAGAGAAAGACCTTAATCTTATTTTTTTTGTACCTTTCAGGGTGCTTAAAGCAGCAGGTTCCTGATAGTTATTTATGATAAGGGAAATTCAACCAGCATACATGGATTGCAAATGTTTTGTAGCAGATTAATGAATACAGCAAAAGTGTCAACATATTAAGTATAAATAAAACTTTCAGAGGTGGATCTTTCCAAGAACTATGGGGAATTTTATTATTGAGTTGGTTCATTAATTTGGGCCTTGCTCCTGAGAGCTAGAGTTCCCAGGGGATTGTGGGCCATAACTGGCGTTACCTCTGTAGGTTGCTGTTGGCAACTAGCAACTAGATCTTAACGTTTGTAAGTGAAGCTTCCAAACCTGCTCCAGAAGTACAGTGTGGTCAGATTTCAATACAACAACTAGATGTTCCCAGTATATGACTAGCTAGATGACTACA